AGGTCTATAATTGACCAAGTCATCTGGGTCAAGAGACAGTTTCTTAAGCAAAGGTTTAATTACAGCAACCTTAAAAGCCTTTGGTACATATCCCTGTAACAGAGATAGATTAATCACATCAAAAATGAAGGAGGAGATCAGAGAATACCTCCTAAAATAAGCTGGTTGGAACAAGTTGAAGGCTTAACCCTCTCAGCAATGTTAAGCTTTTCCTTTGCCCGGTCTTCTAAAACAATCAAAAAGCAAATAAAGACACATAAATAAAGATATCTGATGGGTTAAGGATTATCCTTTGTCCCATCTTAAATTAATCTCCTTCCAGTCCCACATTAACAACATCACCCGGTCTGCCTACTTCCATCTGCGTAACATCTCTCTTCTCCGTCCCTCCCCGCACTCCCCAAACTACGGCCATTCTTGTTCACAGTCTCTTCACTTCATGCATCGATTACTGTAATTCACTTCGCTTTGGCCTTCCAAACAAGTCCCTCCAGAAACTACAGCTCCTCCAAAACTCTGCAGCACGCCTGATAACTCGGACCCCCATTTTTCATCATATCACTCCCATCCTGCAACAACTCCACTGGCTCCCCATCAAACAAAGAATCATCTTCAAACTCCTCCTAACTACATTCAAGGCCCTCCACAGCTTGGCTCCGTCTTACATCTCAGATCTCCTTCACGTTAACACCCCCACCCGCTCCCTACGATCCTCCCACACCTTCCAGCTCTCCATTCCCTCGGCCCATCTGGTCACAATGGGGAACCGGGCATTTAGTCGCTCTGCTCCCCGCCTCTGGAACTCCCTCCCTGCGGATTTCCGTACTCAGGACTACTTCCCTCTTTTCAAATCCAGAATCAAAACTTTCCTGTTCAGACAGTCTTATCCCATCTAGTTCATATGCATCACTCCAATGTTGTTTTCTTTCTTTTCTTTCTTTGGCTTTATTTTACTTCCTGCTGTTTTGTTTTCTGTGGCATCTTTATGCTTGTACTTTTTAGCTTCCTATTTTTAATGTTTTATCTTCCTGTACCGTGTCCTTGTGTGTTTTGATAAGGCGCTTTCAAATAAAATGTATTATTATTATTATTATTATTATTATACTATATACTGGGTTTTTTGTCGGTTTTTTTTTTGCTTTACTGATTTTGTTTCAGTCTTACAGATTGCATTTAAAGCATCTAAGGCATTTGTTTTGGCTTATAACCCATATAGAGATTAATTTCTTGATCCAAAGTCTAACTCCACCACCCACTTTTTCACTTAACCTCTTAATATGCACCTCATTGCTGGAAAATTCGCCTATTTTGCACGCCCAAATGGAAAAGCAAATAACTGAGGAACCTTCAGCCCAAATTAAATGTTTGATCCCCTACAGAGATCGATTTCTTGATCCAAAGTCTAACTCCACCACCCACTGTTTTACTTGACCTCTTAATATGCACCTCATTGCTGGGTAATTTGCCTATTTGAAACTGTAAGCCCAAATTACATGTTTGATACAATGTTTGAAAGCAAACACCTTGTAGTTTCTGAATA